GTTCTCAGGTTCATTGATCTTGTGTCCTGGATCAGTACTTCATTCTGCTCATTGCTGAATAATATTCCATTTTATGAATATACTCCATCTTGCTTATTGAAATGAGTTAAAGTAAAACTGTCATTAATTTTGCCAGCAAAAATGGGCTCACTCTGAAATAGGTGAGAATTACAACTCCGAAAAGCAGCTACGGTGAGACCGCAGGCAACATGGAGAACAGAGGAGAGGAGGCTCTTTCACAGAGGAAGCTGGGAATTGAAGAGGGGCTGTTAGAAACAAAAAGTCCATTGGCGTAAACTGGGCTTGGAAGTATCATTGCTTCCCATTGGCTGAGTTGTGACTGTCTCTCATTGGCTGGGCTGTTGCCATCTGGGGAAATAATCTTCCTCCTTTTGTCATAGTAAAGTGGTATCCACTTGCAACTGCAAGGTCCTTCTCTTGCTGTTGCTTCTGCAGTTGACCATGAGTGGAAGTTCCAACTGCTGATCTTCTGACTCCATCATTCTTCTTCTGCTGCTGCTTCTTTTAAAGATTTATTTATTTTAGGGAGGGAGAGCACGGACAGGGGAAGGGGCACAGGGAGAGGGTGAGAGAATTCTCAGGCAGACTCCCTGCTGAGTGTGGAGCCTGACTCAGGACTTGATCTTAACAACCCTGAGATCATGGCCTGACTTGAAATCAAGAGTCGGAGGCTTAACTGAATGAGCCACCCAGGCGCCCCTCCTGACTCCATTCTTAGCAAGGTTTCCCTATATTAATTTTTACATTTCCCACTTTTGATGGAGATCTTAGATGCACCATTGATTATGAGTCAGTTTTCCATATTTAGTGGTTTTGTTTCTTGGTGCCAGGAAAGACCTTTCCTGGTAGTGATGTCACACATCCTAGGGAAAGTGCATAGCAGTTGGAAATCAGTTAAGGCCATATTTGAGTAACAAGAAATATTAGAAGAAAGGAGTCTCAGGCACTTCTCATCTCCAGTCCCTATTTATCAAGATGGTAAGCACTGGAGATTATCTCCTTGCTGGATACATCACTTTTATAACGTTTTGACAGATAATAACTATGAAAGCAAAAGTAACATGAAAATCCAAATTGTATGACGGTTCTAAATCAGGACCCTAGGTCTGAAAATTGCCAATATTTTTCTGTTGGTAAAAACCTGGAGTCATGTATTCCTCCTGGAATTTGCATACAGTAGGAATTGAATCAGTAGCATATGGGAGTTAGGAAGAACAGGGTCCCAAGGGTTAACAATGGTATATATTGCTGAGAGGTTCTAGACAAACCTCCATCTTCAGCCATTCAGTTTTCTCCAAGGTAAAAACAGGGACTAGTGTATGGAATGATGGGCCTCTGAGGCTTGTAATTTTCTATTATGGGCTTGATGCCTTAAAGGGCTTCTTTATTTATAGGGTATTGATTAATTTTTGGGAGATGCTTTGAGAGATCTATTTTAACCTTGATGGGAGGCACACTGTGGACTCTGCCAATATCAGTTGAGGTTTCTGCCCAGGAAGAGGATGGTAGGTGATCCAATCAAGACAAATGATCAGTGTCCCCAGACTCCACTATAGTGTGTCAGAGATGGAAGAGATGAAAGATATGGAAGGGTCATTTATTTTCTTTGATTGGCTGTGTTGATTACTGTTATCAAATTCTAGAATTATTTCCCCTTTTTAGGACAAAGACACTTGTTTAAAAAATACCCGCCGAATTAAATGAATAGGGCCATAGGAACTAAGTAGAAAATGGTGTATATCTCAAAGGACCTAGACAAAAGGCAGTGGATTCAGATACAGGAACCTATTGAGGTTCGTTAGGGAACCTACTATTTGTATTGTAGTCCTCCTAGGTGGGGGCTGCTGTACAGCAAGCGGTTGGACACGTGTCAGCAAGGACAGAGATTCATTCCCAGTGTGGAGAGTGGTTTCTTCGAGCTGATTACAAGGGAAGCCTGGGAAGGGCCTCTGTGGTTCCCCGGAGCTCGATCATTGGGAATGAGGAGGAATTTGGAAAGTCTGGCTGCAGGGATAGAGATGTGGGAGTGCTTAAGTTGGTAGCGATCTTTTTTCCAGTGTCCTGGTCCTCTGCAAGAAGAGGAGAAACGAGTCAGGTTTGAGTTTTGTTTAGGAACCTCCATTTGCCGGGCGCCTGGGTGGCTCAGTTGGTTAAGCGACTGCCTTCGGCTCAGGTCATGATCCTGGAGTCCTGGGATCGAGTCCCGCATCGGGCTCCCTGCTCAGCGGGGAGTCTTCTTCTCCCTCTGACCCTACCCTCTCTCATGCTCTCTTTCTCTTTCTCATTCTCTCTCTCAAATAAATAATAAATAAAATCTTAAAAAAAAAAAAAAAGGAGCCTCCATTTGCCAGAATTGAGAATTAGGAATTTTAGTGGTTTTGAGGCGCCTGATTGGCTCAGTCAGTAGAGCGTGCAGTTCTCGATCTCAGGGTCGTGAGTTCAAGCCCCACCTTGGGCATAGAGCCTGCTTTAAAAAAAAAAAAGTAGGTAAATAAAAAAAAAGAATTTTAGTGGTTTTTCTTTTAGGTGACTCATCTAGGATGTGTGTGGATGGTTTGCCAAATTATATCTGCAGTGGACATATTTTCACATTCTATCCTGGTCCTTTTAACTAAAGGAAAAAGACACTAGTTCTGCTCTTTAATAAACATAGACTTAAATGCTACCTGGGTGGATTCCACATCTACAGGAAGACCAGAATTTTCTTTAAAAACAATTTGGAGTTGATTTGTGATAGTCATGGAAAGGCCGATGATCATGTAATGTTAACTTTAAAAGTAAACCTGCCAGGGATGCCTGGGTGGCTCAGTGGGTTAAGTGTAAACCTGTCAGTTATTTTACTAGCAAAAATGGGTTTATTTAGTAATAGAGATTTGCAATTCTTTTTTTTTTTTTTAGATTTTATTTATTCGTCAGAGGGAGAGACAGGCTCCCTGCTGAGCAAGGAGCCCAATTCGGGACTCAGTCCCAGGACCCTGGGATCATGACCTGAGCCAAAGGCAGATGCTCAATGGACTGAGCCAACCAGGTGCCCCGAGATTTGCAGTTCTGTTATGTAAAACCACAGGCAGGTCTGGAGAACAAAGGGAGGATCTCTCTTTTATAGAGGAGAGGGGATGTTGGGAGGGGCTGTTCCAGACGACATCCAGTGGAGCAAACTTGGTGTTCCACCCCTAGTGTCCTCTCATAGGGTGGGCTGTGACTGTCTCTTATTGGCTGGGCTGTTGCAGGGGAGGAGGAAACTTTCCTTCCTTTCTTCTGCTGGGGCGGTAATGTGTCCAAGGTTGTCTCTTGCTGTTGAGTGCAATGGAGAATGAGTGGTACTGTGGGAACTCCCCCTGTGGCCTTCTAATTTCATTTGAGTCATGTCTCCTTTATTCATTTTCAAAGAGTTGGTGGGCCTTTGGGTGGTTTTCACTTGCTGGCTATTATGAATCAAGCTGCTGAGAGAGTATATGGAAATTAGTGTTGGTGTTGGTGCTCATCTTCACTTGTCTTGGGTAGATCAATACTAGGAGTGGAATTGCTGTATTGCATGGTAACTAGACGTTCATCATTTTGAGGATGCACCAGACACCTCCAAATGGCTGCACCAATTTCCATCCCCAGCAGCAGAAATGCATGAGAGTTTCCCCTTCCTCACGTCCTCACCAGCACTTACTTGTTTCTTTATAGCCATTCTAGTGAGTCTGAAGGGGTATCTGCTTATAGTTTGACGTCCATTTCCCTGATAACTAACATCTAGCATCTTTTCCTGAACCTATTGGCC